TCCCCCCCCGTGACCTCACCATTTTTGAGGTTGTTATTGGAACGAAAATAGTCAGTATTTTTACACCTGAAGATGACACTAATGGTTTGTCTTCTCTTAGGTGTCTTGTTCTTGTTCTTTTTTGTTATTTTTGTTTTTGTTCTTGCTCTTTTTGTTCTTGTTTTTTCATATTCTTCTTGTTCTTTGTTCTTTTGTTGTTTTTGTTGTTGTTCTTGTTCATTTTTTTTTCTTGTTCTTCCTCTTTCTCCTCCTCCTCCTCCTTCCACTCTTTGTCCCTCTACTCCTTCCTCTTTCTCTTTCTCTTACCCCATTTTCTTCTCCTGTTCCTCCTCACCCCTCATTTTCCCCCTCCTTCACCCCTTTCGTCGTCCTCCTCATCATCTCCTCCTCCTATTCCTACTTCTCCTTCACCTCCTTCCCCCCACTCTTCCTCCTCCCTCCCCTTCCCTCTCTCTCCTCCTCCTCCTCTTCCTACTCCTTCTCTCACCTCGTCAAAACTTTTACTATGGTGTAATAAAAGTGTAAAAATGCCATAATATTTGATCAGCCGGCTATAAGAACCTTCGTATTCCTAGTGGCTAACCTAACCTAACCCTAACCTAACCTAATCTAACCTAACCTAAACCTAATCTAACCTTATCTAACCTAACCTAATCTAGCCTAATCTAACCTAAACCTGTAATAATCTGGGTGAAATAATCTGGGGTGTCTAAATTTCATCGTAATCTATTTTGTGTGTGTGTGTGTGTGTGTGTGTGTGTGTGTGTGTGTGTGTGTGTGTGTGTGTGTGTGCGGATCTTTACATCTTCACTTAGGAGGAATTATCTTGCGACTCTGGGGGCGTCTGGGTTGGGGGAGGGGTTGCAGGCTGTAGCTTGCAAGGTTAAAAGTGTGTTATCCCGAAGCAGCTGAGGTTTGTTATCTCTCTCTCTCTCTCTCTCTCTCTCTCCGCTGACAGTGTTGTTATCGGTTTTGGCGACCATCGTTTTCCATTCGTCCGCCTTTCCTTCCTTACTCCACCGGCCATTAGCTCACAGGACACAAGAATGGTTGGACTCACCTCTAATACCTTACCTCCCTACCCTACCATTCCCTCCCTCCCTCCCTCCCTCCCTTCCCCTTCCCTCCCTCCCTCCCTCCCCTACCCTACCCAACCCCTTCCCTGCCCCTCCCCTCCCTCCCTCCCCCTACCCTAAGTACCCTACCCCACCCTCCCTCCCTCCCTCCCTCCCTCCCTCCCTCCCATCCTTCCCTTCACGCCATCTTGTATTGTGATTTGATCCAATATGGCCGACATGATCCTCTTTTGTTTTTCATTTTTTTGTTTTGTTTTTGTATGATCGCTCGAGTAGGGTGGTCAGTGCTGTGTGTGTGTGTGTGTGTGTGTTTGTGTGTGCGTTTTATGTAGTAATAGGTGGAGAACACAAAGAGATAGAATCTAACCTAACCTAATCTAACCTAACCTAACCTAACCTAACGTAACTTAACCTAACCTAACCTAACATGACCCATACAGCCTTGACCTGCACTACTACAGGTTACCGTGATACAGTACAGCCTACTTACAGTGTCGAAGCCTTTAGGGACGGGCAACTTTAGAGGTTGTTCCACTGCCCTGCACCTAGCCTTCATGATCAACTCCTTGACGGTGGAATGGTCAGTACACGCGTCTGTAAAGTTAGGTTAGGTTAGGTTAGGTTAGGTTAGGTAAGGTTAGGTAAGGTAAGGTAAGGTAAGGTAAGGTTAGGTAAGGTTAGGTAAGGTAAGGTAAGGTTAGGTAAGGTAAGGTAAGGTTAGGTTAGGTTAGGTAAGGTAAGGTAAGGTTAGGTAATGCTAATATGAGTTTGGATAATACACACACACACACACACACACACACACACACACACACACACACACACAGCAAACATTACACAGAGAGAGATTGATAGAGAGGTAGACAGACAGACAGATAGACAGAGTTTAAGTGAACCAACTAATCCTTATCTATTTGAGACAGACAGAGACAGACAGACAGACAGATGGGCACACTATCAAATACACAGACAGACAGATAGACAGAGTTTTAATTGAACCAACTAATCCTTATCTATTTGAGACAGACAGACAGACAGACAGAGACAGGCAGACAGACAGATGGGCACAGTATCAAATACACAGACAGACAGATAGACAGAGTTTAAGTGAACCAACTAATCCTTATCTATTTGAGACAGACAGAGACAGACAGACAGACAGATGGGCACACTATCAAATACACAGACAGACAGATAGACAGAGCTTTAATTGAACCAACTAATCCTTATCTATTTGAGACAGACAGACAGACAGAGACAGGCAGACAGAGAGATATCCCTCACCTCTTTGTAATTTGGCAGGAGTGTGTCGTTGCCTCCTCGCCGTCGTCGCCTCCCACAGGAATGCCGCCGACGCCACCGTCAGATAGAGGAGGAGGACCTGCCGCCGCATCTTCCCTCTTGTTCCTCACCACCTGCAGTAGACGTCGTTCTTGTCCGCTTCTGCAGGTTTTGTCCGCTTCTGTAGGTTTTGTCCGCTTCTGCAGGTTTTGTCCGCTTCTGTAGGTTTTGTCCGCTTCTGTAGGTTTTGTCCGCTTCTGTAGGTTTTGTCCGCTTCTGCAGTTTTGCAGGTTTTGTCCGCTTGCAGGTTTTGTCCGCTTCTGCAGGTTTTGTCCGCTTCTGTAGGTTTTGTCCGCTTCTGCAGGTTTTGTCCGCTTCTGTAGGTTTTATCCGCTTCTGCAGGTTTTGTCCGCTTCTGCAGGTGTTTTTGTGTGGGTTGGGTTGTGTTGGATAAAGTTGAATTGGGTTAGTTTAGGTTAGTTTGGATTGGGTTAGATTAGACTAGAAGTGTGAAGGGAACGTTGTGTATTTGGCATGACAGAAGTTCTTAAATAAAACTTCATAACAACATATCTCTTTGGGGGGGGGGGGTGGAGAGGTTTCTATAGCACAGGTTCTGGAAGTTCTATACCTGAAGTGTTTCTTGTGTGACGGTACTACTGAAGGATCTGTAACATTAAGCTCTTGAAAGGTGACGAAGGTGCGGTAATAGTTCGGTATATAGAACAGATAAGAGCTATTGAAATATATGTATATACAGAGGAATCACAAATTCATACCTTGATAATGCAGGTTAACGAAGGGTCTTGAAGCTGCATGGAAGACTATTGTGGAGATGTGGTTCAAATTGTCCCCATTAAAAGTCAATTGTTGGATTCTATGTAGTGTTAAGTCTCCTTGGCTAGTACAGTATAGTCTCGGATAGGAGGGTGGTGGGATAGTGTATAACAGAGGTCCAGTGAAGGCAATACCTCCTCTATCCTTGATGGTATATGAAACTATGCCAAGTGTGTGTGTGTGTGTGTTAGTCATGCGTAGAAATAGTTTACTATCTTGCACCGGACATCCCATGGCGATATCCTCTGTCACTTACTCACTGTTACTTACTCATTGTTACTCACTCTTACTCACTCTTACTCACTCTTACTCACTCTTACTCATTCACTCACTCTTTCTCATTCACTCACTTTCACTTACTTTGATTCACTCACTCACTCTTTCACTCTTTATCACTAACACACAGACACACACACACACACACACACACACACACACACACACACACACACACACACACACACACACACACACACACACACACACACACAGAGCAGGGTATCTTATCTCAACAAACACATTTTATCATTATTTAAGCTTACACATAATTATGTTTGTCACTCGACCATCTGTGTGTGTGTGTGTGTGTGTGTGTGTGTGTGTGTGTGTGTGTGTGTCGTAACTCTGGTCTGATTAGATTCTCAGTGTCGTAATAATTCACCTGCTATATACTGTAATTGGTTCTTTGGGCCCCAGTTCTAATGGGCCCCAGTTCTAATGGGCCCCAGTTCTAATAGACCCTTGTACGCCCTAAATAACTGCGCCTAATGTATCCTACCTAATCCTGACCTAATCTAGTCTTAACTCAACCACCCGTTAAGATTAGGCCCCAGTTCTGATAGGCTCAAGCTAACCTAACCTAACCTAACTTAGAATCATATAAAAACCTAACCTAACCTAACTTAATCTAACCCAACCTAACTTAATCTAACCCAACCTAACTTAATCTAACCTAACCTAACCTTTAAAGTAAATTCTCTCTTCTTTCTCTTCCACTTGGCTTGTGACCAGACAGCTGTCACCGTAACTTACTGATGACACACACACACACACACACACACACACACACACACACAGCATCACCTTTCATCATTCTTCGTCTCTCTCTCTCTCTCTCTCTCTCTCTCTCTCTCTCTCGTCGCCTTTGCTTTCCCTCTTTCCCTCCCTTTCTCCCTTTTGTCTCCTTTCCTCCCTCTATTTTCTGTCTCTCCTTCCTCCCTCCTTTCGTCCCTTTTCTCCCCTTCACCTCTCTGTCCCCCTCCTTCCTCCCCTCCATCTGTCCTCCTTCCCTCCCTATTTTTCTCTCCCCTTCCCTCCCTCCCTGTGGTGGTGTTGGACGTCAGCCAAGCTTCTCTCTCCCCTCCTTCCCTCCACAGCTGTCCTGAACTCCCCTCCTCCTCGTGACGGTATTCCCAGACGCGTGTGTGTGTGTGTGTGTGTGTGTGTGTGTGTGTGTGTGTGTGTGTGCATGTGTGTGTGTGTGTGTCGCATTGATGGTCAGGACAGAAATTAATAAGAATAATAGGATTGAACAGAATCTACCTGGTACACACACACACACACACACACACACACACACACACACACACGAGAGAGAGAGAGAGAGAGAGAACAGCTGATTCTTCCCACACCCAAGAGCTGATATTGCCTCAGTATCTCATCAGTGCCGCCTGAAGAACTAGTGATATAAGTGTACTTTTTTGTTCGTCTTCGTGTCTCTTGTTATTATCATCTCCGGCTGCTGCTACGGAAATAATAACTGCATATTGTATTTTAGTTCCAGAATCTTGTTTATTATCGTGAATCCTTTAGTAGATGATGTGGGTTTTTATTTTTAATATTTGGGAGTTTGTTTTTTCTTTTTTTTATGTGTGTGGTGTGTGTGGGTGTGTTTTAGATGTGTGTACTGTATATGTATGTGTTTTAGACGTGTGTGTGTGTGTGTGTGTATGTATGTGTTTTAGACGTATTTGTGTATGTGTACATGTGTATATATCACATATAAAACAACTATATACTTCCTTACTTACCCCCCTCCGCCACACACACACACACACACACACACACACACACACACACACACACACACTACCTTGACCTTTGCCCTATAAACACCATGAGGAGCAGTACTGACCTCCCGACTCACGCGATCAATTTTCCAGAAGGTTAGATTAAAAGGCTATGAAGGTCCTCAACCCGTTTATTAGTGTATGTACATAGAAGGCCACATGCGGAGTACAAGAGTGGAGAGTTTAGTGGACGACCTCACCACACGAGATACACTGCAGACAAACCTTTAGCGTCCTGGGATTATATATATATAGAGGTGTAGATGACGTCAGTAAGTATGAAATTGTTGTCAAAGTTGTATGGTTTGAATGACGCCCCAAAACTCATCATGATGCAAGTGATTCAAGTAAATTTAGGAAGGTTTGTTTTTGGTTGGGTTTGGTTAGGTTAGGTTAGGTTTGTTTTGGTTAGGTCAGGCTTTTTTTTTTTTTTTTTTGGTTAAGTATCGTTAGATTTGGTTAGGCTAGATTTTATTTGTTTTCTCTTATCATACGACATCATAACCAACCAAGTTCTGAGGGTTTGTTTACAACGCATCTCACTCGAGTAGAGGAACGTCTTGCCACCACGAGAAATACTGAGATATTATTTACTACTTAGCTGGACCACATTCTGAACCATGGTGGGTGACGTGTGGAGGTAACTAGAGAGTAAAGGTTTAATTTAGCTCCGTTTTATTTCTGGTTTAAGGTTGGTTTAATCGCTAATATGTTCGTTATAGTGTATTGAATGTAAACCTGGTAGTGAATAATGGAAAGAGTGAGTTTGAATGTCTTGTAAGAGTATAGTGTAATAATCCAACATTGTGAGAATTATCCTAGACTCGTTGGATTATGGATTAGGTTAGGTTAGATTATACTAGGTTAGGTTAGGTTAGGTTATACTAGGTTAGGTTAAGTTAGATTATACTAGGTTAGGTTAAGTTAGATTATACTAGGTTTGGTTTGGTTAGTTATTGACAAACAAATCGGTAAAGATCCCATCAAAAAAATAACAAGAAATAAATTAACGGAGCTAAAATTATCCTTCACTTTAACTGTAGTAGTAATAATAATACAACTGTACATTGGTGTGTGGCTCCTGTAGTTACCACACCAACATGACGTTAAAATTGACTTCTATACATCGCTAGCACTTGACATATATATATATATATATATATATATATATATATATATATATATATATATATATATATATATATATATATATATATATATATATATATATATATATATATAGCAGAGAAGTATAACGGAGAAATGTAACTCACTTCACATTATAGGAAGATTTTCTGGTGGTGCCATTTTGGGGTGAAAAATGGCAGATATTATTAGCAGATGAAAAGAGTGAACTGCAATCAACACACATACACTTGGCCTTATACACGTGCCAAAGAGAATGACAGGCTTTTAAAGATTCCAAATGTTTATATTGGATGGTACTCAAAACCACAATTAACCTATGGCATAAATTTCACCATAGTCACTAAATAAACCACACTGACAGACATAATTTTCCTTCGTTTAACTATATTATAATCCAAAACATTACTACCTTATATATATATGTATATATATAAAAAAAATGCCTGTGAATTTACTTATGTAGCATCACCACTCCGCATTCTCAGACCAGTTCATGGGAATATATACAGTTTCTGAGTACGATACATATAAGTAAGTGTCTTTACCAGGATCAGTCTTGACAAATATACAGACGTGTGCTTCTCTTTACTTCACATCTCTCATTATATATCGTCAGCACAGTATATCGTCAGCACATTATATCGTCAGCACTATATATCGTCAGCATTATATATCTTCAGCACTTTATACAGCCAGTACATACATTTTATCGCCAGTACTATATCGTCAGCACAGTATATCGTCAGCACTATATATCGTCAGCACAGTATATCGTCAGCACGTACATTATATCGTCAGTACTATATATCTTCAGCACTTTATATCGTCAGCACGTACATTATATCGTCAGTACTATATATCTTCAGCACTTTATATCGTCAGCACAGTATATCGTCAGCACGTACATTATATCGTCAGTACTATATATCTTCAGCACTTTATATCGTCAGCACTTTATATCGTCAGCACAGTATATCGTCAGCACTTTATATCGTCAGCACAGTATATCGTCAGCACATACATTACATCGTCAGTACGTACATATATCGTCACCACACTGTATTTGGACTGACTATATACCGTATATC